AGCATTAAAGTTGTGTATTGAAACAAGCTGAAACTTCATTTGGATCACGCCAGTTACAATTTAGATAAATGCATAAATGAATGCATTTAGATAAAACAGTACAGATTTCCTTTTTACCCACTGTTTACATCCTTTTAGATTTTCCATATTTAGATGCATTGTTTATAGTAAATTTGTCAGTAGAGCTAGACGAGCTTTTAAAAAATCTAGATTTTTCTCTTCCTTCATTTACGTGATTCATGGGGCGCTACTAAGGCTGAGTCCTTACTGCAGTGGCCCAAGTTCGATTACAACCTGCAAGGCCCTTTGCTGCATGACATTCCCCGCCCTCTCTTTCTCTCTCCCCACTTTCTTAATAAAAAAAATCTTAAAAATAGGAGCATAAAAAGCCCAAAATATGCAAATAATGTGTGTAAACTGTAGTAGTAAAATGTACAATAAATGACCAAATCGTGTGTTTTACTTGCTCAGGTTCGCTAGAAGTTTGTTACGAGATGATGACCATGAAACACACAAGAGATCGTATGAAGGTAATTGCTGTGACTGTATGTTCAGACTAGCGGTACTATATCTCTCTGGAGGATCATTACATGTAGAGACTGACAGCATTATTGCAGCGTGAAAACAAAAAGGAAAAAACTTTAACGTGTTCCTGTGCGATGTGTTAAAGGGTTCATTTTTCACATGCTTGATGTCACTTATTTTTACTGACATGTGCATTTTGCCTGGGGTGCATGCTAGGAATCATGAGATTGTTAAGCCTCTAAAGCTTTGTCTCTCCAATACGAAACATGAAATATAGTGAGTTGAGCTAAAGGTAACAAGCAAAAATGCATTTGTGAGTTGTTTACAAAGTATAATCACAATCTAAACGATCACAATTTTTTATCATATCTGATATTGTGTATTTGTTGCTGAATCTAAATATTTGATAAGATGCATTTCATTTAAAAATAGACGTGTAGTTCAAACCCATGCTGACATATTTGCTTTCAAAACGGAAAGCAGCTTGACACTATAGACATTGTGGTCAATGCAACTCTGAACAAGTGAACGCAATTAAGCACACAGTGTTCTAAAAATAAACCAGATGTACAGAAATACATGAGAAGCTACAGCCACAAGATTCCACCTCAAATATAGTAGTGCTGAAGCATTTTTGTCTAACAGCATTTTACAAACCAACCCATTTTGTCTCCACTGTCTGAAAACAGTCTTTAGAGCCTGACCTGAATTATGCCTCGCTGGATCTAAAGGTGGCAAATAAATACAAAAAGAAGCACCGCCATCAGCAGGGCCACACTCAGGGACGAATCAAACCACAAGATCAGCTGCCAGTCGACCTCACGCCCCCTGGGAATGCTTTCTTGGAGGTGGAAGCGGATATGGAAGCTCAACTTCCTTCCAGAGACAACAGCACCATGATCTCACACAGTAGCATCTACCTGAACAGCCAACAGATAGCCCAAGAGACAGAGGTGATGGAAAGAGAAAGAGGCATAGACATGGAGAGGGAGAATGTGGGTTGGGAGGGAATAAGAAGGCGGGAGGATGGCGAAAGTAGAAAATGGACAAGAGAGCAAGAGAGTGAGGAAAGAAGAGACAGACAAGATTGTAATGGAAGTGTATGTACACAGCTTTCAGAGGTAGAGGCTATTCAAAGTGGCACGGATCATTTCATCAGCAGCTTTAGCCATGATAGTGTCCAACAAGATTAAGCAAACATCATACTAAGACTGTTCATTTCAAACTGTTCAGAATTGAATAGGCCACCTGAAAAAGCAAATAAAAGTCCATTACTGTGTCTGCCAGAATGAAAATATCATTTTCAATAATCAAAAAGCTTTATGCAGTTAAGCAATTTCCTCTCCGGTGCGAGCAAACTACCTCTAGAACTCTTGAGCAACTGGGGAACAAAGGTGTGTACCTTTCTGTGCAGAGGATGTAATAAACGTAGAGGATGCAAAGAGAAAAGGAAACTCTGTGTGTGACCTTTAGAGGTCAAGAGTCACGTGGAAATTCTCTAATTTGTTGCGAAAGACAAGGAAAACATCAAAACATCAGAGGACACGGAAGATCTTGCACTGTTGTGATGTCTCATAATCAGACATCAACAGATGTCTCACAGAAAGGTGTGAAGGGGAAAAAAAAATCTTTACATTTGTTTTCCATGCTGTAGGCGTTGGCCAAGTCTCGAAAGGTGACACTTTTCTTGAATAAATGTACTTCCTTAAACACATGTAAATCTGCTTTTCAGCCATGTTATGACTGAAGATAAAATTAACATGAAGATCAAATTAAAGCCAAGAAAGTAAAAAAGGGGGAAACCTACAAGTAATGTAATTTTTGTTTCCCTGTGGGCATATTGTTACGTAAATGTCACCCACAAAGGATTTTCCACGTCAGAGTTATGATAATGGTCATTAGCTCTATAATCTATTGCATTTATGGTCTAAAGCACCATCTGCTTAAATGATTATTCCCCTCTTTTTAATCCCCTCTCGGGAAGGATAATTTACTGCCCTGCTTTCTGCTGCGGGAACCGAGCTTTGAAACGAACTTAGCAGTCGGAGGCCTGCAGCCACAAACCGTCTGACAGTTTTTCAATAGCTGACCATGGCCTACTTCCCTCTATGGATTAATATTTGGCCTCAGGCGTTCTGGATCTAACTGTTGCAGATATACAGTACAGTGAAAGCAACAGAAAATGACACACACAAATAACAGAGCAATATTAGTCAAATCTTTGTATGAAAAAACCTAGAAATATTTTTCTTTCAAAATATATAGTGTATCCATAGAGATCACACTGAAGCTATAATTAATAGGATGTTATCATAAGTAAATTACTATCAGCTAGATTCTAAAAACATAGGTATAAGTGATTGACACCATTGCCAAGAATCCTTACACACTGTATCAGTCTCTGCATTACATTTTACACCGTATGCCTATCAGCTGAATTTCAGGATGTTTCCTTGCCTTGCTTTGGGTGACATAATGAAAGGAACTCTTTTTTTATCTGGCTCAACCAGAGGAAAGGTTTTTAAGGTGTCTTGCAATAGCAGATAGTGGAATGATGAAAAGAAAAAGTGTGTGTGTGTGTGTGTGTGTGTGTGTGTGTGTGTGTGTTAGGAAGGAGTTAGACAGGAGTGATGCTAAGGTATCATGGTAAAATTGAAAGTGATATCTTAAAAGATAGGTTCACAATTTTGGATGGCAGTCTTAAACAACAGTTTGATGCCCATATGGACATTGAAACAGGTTTTTACATACTGGAATTATTCATCTGTCCTGTTTATAAAAATCCCTCCCAAATGTGCTTTCAATAGAACAAATCAAGTCCTCCAAAGTTAGTCTTTTTTAAGGTATAGCTCGCTCTTTGTGTTTCCCCAGACAGTGTTTCATAGCTGAGCTGCAGTGGAAGGATACTAACACAAAAGGGGAACTCTGTACTAAAAATACTTTCTCTAAGTTAGACTGCTGAATCTTCATTTTAGCTTCAGATAAACTTTGGAATCAATTTCCACACTTACATTTCCTCCCATCACTTACACTGAAAGTGCATGAGGAAGGGATCTTATGAACAGGAGGAATGGATTGTTTGACTTGACTTGTGGCTCAGAAAGAATATTTAAATGTGCCGAGGTAGATGAATCAAGTGCTCAAGCTACACTTTTATGCCTCTATACATTGTGTATTATTCAACTGTAGTTTTGATGAATTAAACTATTTTTTTCACCTTATAAGAATGATCTCTTAAAATAATTGTTATTCACAGTTTGCATTAAATATCCATGCTACATCCTCTTTCTCCTTGCAGCCTAGCATGTGTGTATGTATGCAACCCAGTCTCATGTATGTTAGCTATGTAAAGTTTGTCAGGGTGTGCTATTGGCTTGCAGGCCCTCTAGTGGCCGGAAGGAATAGTGTTATTTTATAATTTTTTTATTTTAATAATTGTATTTTGGGATACTGCAGTTTGGGGTTGGTGCCTTGGCCCATAATGTGTCGCAGTAATTGGTGTTACTGTAACTGTAACACCTGTCTGAACTATATGTGTGTTTCCTGATCTGCCTCCCCAATGGTTAATACGATTAAGGGGCAATAGAAGTTACTTGGCAATGATTGTGGTCAAACAGGCTATGACATAAAAGTCTCAAGCTTTGCATCGACCCAACATCCTTCCTTTTCTGGGCCCACTGGCAACATAAAATCATGAAGTCTGTTTGGAAGTTAATGTTTTCAAGTCTTAATATCATACAAAGCAGTCCATTGGGACTTTTTTGCATCAATATAACATCACAGTGTTTGTGCCTTTGGTACTGAGACAGATCATCATTTTCTTGTCTGCAAGAGGTCACGTGAGGAGAATATAAATTACCAATGTTGTCATCTTCTTCTAGATATACGCCTAAATAACCCAGGTTTATTTAAAAAAAAAAAAAACACATATTGAGGTGTGTACTCTCTACTTTGTTCTACTGAACTGTTGGCTCCAGGAAGATGGTAGCAAACTGTTTGTCTCTTTAAATGAATGTGACAACAGCAGCCGCCATGTTATCAAATGCTAGCAAAATAATTGTTTTATATTGATAAATTAAGTAAGTTTGTAATTATACTTGGAAAATGGACGGCAACACTCAAAAGTGCATGTCAACTTTTCAACCATGGATGGTGATCAGTGAGGGGGTGGGTCTCTAACATCTCCTACCTCCTTTTTTTTACTAAGAATCAAACTATTAGGATGAATATGGATGTATTATCAGGACAATGACCAGCCGGCTATTGTCACACAGTCCACATTTGGGAAATTACTATTTTTTAGAGAGCTGGATCTTGAAATATCTTCAGAACAATGGTTAGAGCTGCAAAAATATAGAAATAATGATAAAAATAATTTAATATTTGTACACATCTTTCAGGAAAAAAGGAATAGGTAGCATATTTAAAGTTACCCAATGTAACCACAACTACAGGTCTCCTTCTTTTGGTTTTATGGCGGGTTTGCACCATCACTTACAGTATACCGCCACCGCTGGTGTGCGGGTCAAGCGCATGAGTTATTGGTACTATGAAAATTTTACATAATACATATTTAAAAACAAATAAATCTTATATTAATTCTATAAATCTCACATTCACAGCAGCTTTCTGGTGTGTCTTTAACCCTTCTTCTTGCAACACCATAAACGCCATTGAAGTAACGAGTAAGGCTAAAAAGATTTGGAACGGAATGGAAGTAGATTTGTATTTCTATTTTTTTTTTAATGCGAGTGAAGCGTCTTCCAGGGCGGGAGACGATCTCGTCTCAAACATGGCGCGCGCATGTGCTTCATGCAATCTCAGTCAATTAGCGTGATCCGGTGTTTGGTCGATCAGCGATCCCGTATAGATCAGTCAATGTTGAGAAGCCCTGCTGATGATCCGCATCACTTACATTACTGAGGCAGCGTTAGCGTGAACGGAGGTCGCCGACCGTGATAGCTTACAGACGAATCACGATGGCATACGACAAACTGAGGATGTAAGTCGCATCGTATGACTTGGCAGCTTGGCATGTGCTTTACTTGCGACATGAATGTGGGATGGTGAGTTTGAGGGGTTTCTGTCTCTTGCAGGCTGCGGATTTCTTCTGGTTTCAACCGCCATGACTGAACATCTGCTTGCCAGCGGGCGCAGCCACATTCAACCTACAGGGCAAACCTCACCAATGGCGAAGGTAGGAATAGCTGAACATCTGAATACCGCGAGAAATACCCGTGATATACGTGATAAATAAGCCGTGATAAATTAGGAATACGCGTGGCAACTCTGAATGTGATTGTGTGCAGGTGTGTCGGTGGGGCGACTCTCCGGGTCGTTGTCTTTTTCGTCTGTATTCTTGAGCATTTAAGGCATGAGTCGAATAGTATCGCGCACACACATGAACATCTCACATCTATTAAGGTGCCTCTCAATAAATAGATATATAATATTCTGACAAGTTATTTTTTAGTAATTCAATTCTAAAGTGATAATTCGTGTATATATTATATGATCTATTACGTCCAGAGTGATTATATTCAGTCCTTTTATTTCTTTCGATTTTGATTTGACTATGGCTTAAGCTATCGAAATAACGAGACCAAACTTTATACAGAATGTCGGTCCTACTCAAAGTATTGTTCATATATATCCACTCATACTGCGTGTTCGTGGGCTCTTTGCAATGATATTCCATCTAATGCGGCGTGGCATGGAGGGATAGCCTGTGGCAGCTGCTGCGGGTGTTATGGAGTCCAGCGTTTGCTTTGATAGCGGCCCTTTCAGCCGTTGGTGTCATCTCATCGTTCTCTTGACAATGAGCCCCATCAGATTACTCTATGGGGTATTCAGACAGTCAGTTTGAGTCCAGATTTCACTCAGTGTCGTAATGAATCTAACTAATCATCTTATGATTTCACTTTTTCAATTGAATTACTGAAATAAAATTAACTGTTTACCATGCATCTAATTTATACTGAGTATTGAGATGCACCTGTATAGGTGAGTGTTTAATATCTAAAATACCATTGCAGGCTGTAGTTTTAAGTTTCTCATTGACTCAAACCAAACCCTGACCATTCGTGGATGGCGGAGCTGGACTTTTAGCCATATCCTGTAGTTATCTGCTCATTGCCTCTCTGATTGCTGTTGTCCGTCTAGGAACGCTGTGTGGACAGCTGTGCGGGGAAGCTGATTCGCTCTAACCACCGCCTGATGGGCACCTACGTGCAGCTCATGCCCCGAATGGTGCAGCGTCGGATGGAGGAGATGGAGAGCAAGGCTGCAGAAAACGCCAAGGCAGCTGCTGCTGCGTACGTGGAGCCTCCTGCCGCAGAAGCCTCAGTGGCGTCTCAGACCCCCGTCATCTCATCTCTGCCCCCACAAGTACCTCCGCTGTTGACTCCCTTGGTGACTGATGTTGGGCCAGAGGCCTTCGGTTCAGTCTCAAAGCCAGCAGGATTAAATATTCCAGTTGAGCTCAGCACTGCTGTGTCCACAACAGCCGCAGAGGTCAAATTATCAGCTGCCACAGCGCTTACACCTGCAGCTGAGGCTGTAATTCCCTCAGTGTTTAATGATGCTGGCAAAGGACCATCTTATACAGCAGGCTTTTCTCAACCACCGATAGCTGGTGCGCAAATTGAGTTTGAGAATTCAGCACCTGTGTTTATGCCGTCTAACCCAACATCCATATCAGCAGACGTGCCTGTGTCTACAGTAGCCGCACCTATAGTGTCTAAATCCACAGAGAGCCTGTCAGGCCGAGAGAGCGCCCCGGAGGTTCCCCCGCCGTCAGGCCAGTAATGATTGCCAGTCTGGGTCTGTCTCAGGTGGGCAAACTGTTAGATATGTCCCTGACCCCCACCAGAAACAACCAACTCAACACTGGCAGTCCCAGATGTGATATTCTCTGTATTGCTGAAGAGAATAAATGATCAATATAGTGATATAAATTATAAAATAACATAATAAAATAAAGGACTATTCATATATATCATCATGTATTATAACCTTTTCTGGCCACGGTCTCTCAAATATGAGCATCTGTTGTTTCTTCTGTTTTTATATTGTAAACCTTTTGAGGTTTCTTACTATTTTACAAATGTAGCAACTTGAAGACCTCACTTTAGACTCTGTTTAACTTTTGCAGGCATCACTCAATTATGAGATAAATCTGAAATTTAGCTTTAGTGCCCTGTGATCTCCCATGATGAGAATAGCAATTATTCGCTAATTATTTGTTATGATAATAACAAAACCAAATATGCAGACATTAAATTTGTGTAACTGTTATTGTTTTGTTATTAAGTTGTTATAACAGTGTATATGAGTGTATGTGTGTGTGATGGCAGTGAAATTGCCAGTGAAAGTAAAGATTTCTGCACACTTCGATCCATGCTGTGATATTGCCAGTCAAAGATCCTTAAGGATCAATCCTCGGCCTGCAGCTTTAGGACTACAGTTTCATGAGCCAGGAGGGCTACCTAAACACACTCAGTCCCGATAATAATTGTTTTGTAAGGTGACACAGTGAATGCAGAAATTGGATAATCTTCAACAATAAAAATGGTATTCGTTACTATTCTTTGAATGCTCCATTGACAACCTTTTGTATTTGTTGTTTGAAAACATGAATGGTCCTCCTGCCACCGGATGTCCGAAGGCAGCAGTGGGTTGGGGCGTGTGCAGTGTTGTGGGTGGGTGTGAATTCTGTTTGTGACCTTTGTCGCACATCATCACCTCTCTCCTCCCATAATTTCCTGTCTTTGCACTAAACACACTCAGCCGTGATAAGCGATCTCAAAACAGCTTTCCCAGTGGCTTTTCTTCTCAACCACCAAGTTTGTGACGTTCTTCAGCATTGCAATCTGCCAGCACCTGTGGCAGTTAAGGATTGTGGAAGAAAATAAAGGTTTCTTGAGGCTAAGTATGACTAATTATGTGATGGTTAGTTTAAAATGTCGATGTTCCTGTAATGTGGTCATACAATAGTCAGGCTGTAGCATTCTTAAATAAACAAATGTAAGGGATCCTCATCAAACGCGTGCTATGAGTTGTCAAAATGTCCTGTACTAGCTTATTGTTCAGAATTCTTTAATAAATGAGTTGAAGGGGTCCTAATAAAAAATATAAATAGATATTGACTCATTTATATTCACTACATCCCTGGTGGCTATTCTGTCTTCATTAGTTTAATTTTATAATGTTGAGGTGTTGGAACACAAAGATGTGATTCATATAGGAAAATTTGCCTATTGATGATACATCACATTCTCACCTTTAGGTGTGAAGTAATCATATGAATGTATTCTCTCTCATGGCAAATTACTTCGAAAGATGAATGATTAATAAACAGTGGTGGAAGAAATGTTTACTTAACCTTTACTTAAGTAGCTACCCCATGCTGTGAATATATACCACAACAAGCAAAAGTCCTGCAATGAAAACCTTATTGAAGTAAAAGTGTGTAAGTATTGTCAGCAAAATGTACCCAAATGAACGGTCCCTGTCAGTGTTTTACTATCATGTGTATGATTTTTGATTAATATTACTGCTGCATTAATATGTATGTTGCATTGTATTGCTGTAGTTGTTTAATGTTGAGCTAATTCGAGGCACTTTATCATTATGCTGCCCTGTAAGATCTGTGTATCTGTAAAATGAGCTCAGAAAAGCAGTTTCTGAGTGCAGCTGTTTGATAATGCAGTTTCTAGCTAATACAGTAATAGAAATCTGTGGGACGCTCCATAGCTCACCTGGTAGAGCTGGTCCAGGTACCAAAGCTGAGCCCTTGCTTCCGCGGCCATGGGTTCGAGACCGACCTGTGGCCCCTTGCTGTGTGTCCCCCCCCTCTGTCTCCCCCTTATTTCATATCAATTCTCAACTGTGCCCCTAAAAAAAAAAAGTGAAAAGTGACTAGTAACTAAAGCTGTCTGACAAATGTAGTGAAGTAAAAGTATGTATCCCCTGTGCCACGGTGCCACTTCACCTGACCTCGTCGTTTTCCCCATTTACCCCCCCTCCGGGTATAAGCATCAGTGCAATACCCTCCAGCAGGGGGCGCTGTTTTGTGAGTGTCCCGGGACAGTGCTGCCAGTAGCAGAGCTCCTCTAACTTCTCACCAGTAGCCCACATCAGCACGGAGGAGCGGGGCGTGGACTCAGAGCGACTAGTCTCTGCTCTTAACTTGGAGGAGACGGCCGACTTTCGGTGGGAGGAAAAAAAAAGAAACAAGGCAAGAAATCGATCGATTAGCAGCTGGTAAGGGGCTTTTTGAGACCGTTTTGTATGTTTAACAGTGTTGTTTCCATTGTGGCTGGGGAGTTCTTGTTGTGGATGTCCAACTTCACTTTGACTTTTTTTTAACAATAGATTTGATCCAATAGGCCAGCCCATCCGATTCAACGCAGGAAGATAAAGCCAAAGGGAAATGGGGGAATGTGGAGCTATTTGTGTACTTTCATTTTATTTACACTCTGGCCGGCTGTTTGTGTGTCTTTGTGCAGAAGATTGTGTACAGTAATTATCAAACGAAGGGCTTAAAGATTGGTCTACAGTTACAATGAATGTTTAGGAATATACTTCTACCATAAAAGAAGTCCTGAGGGAATAGTGTTTTTCACATCACACATTCAGTTCTCATTATGGACATGTACCTTTTACCCTGTTTCTGTTTTTCCATTTAATCCCTTTTCTTTCTATTACTATTTTTACTTTGTGTGTTTATTTATTAACACACCTTAATCTGTTTTGTAACTTTGTTTAGGTGTTTGTCTGCAGTTTTATTTCACGTATCCTTTTCTTGCTCTTAGTTCTCATCTCTTTTTTTTTAAATCTAATTCTGCCTCCAGTGTTTCCTCCCTGCAACTTGATGAGATAGGCTACATGTTCCTGATCGCAACAGAGACTGAAAGAGCAACCAATCTAGAGAGGCAGCCCTCAGTATAGCCATGGATGACATCTTCACACAGTGTCGAGAAGGGAACTCTGTGGCCGTTCGTCTGTGGTTGGACAACACAGAGAATGACCTCAACTTGGGGTGAGTGGATATATCTGCACACACTTTCGCTCAGATACATAAAGCTTTGAAGGGGACTGCCTTTATCTTCTGTGCAATAACAAATTGAGTACGGCCTTCTAATGATTGGAATGAACCTTGTAGTGAGTGTACCACATTTGGTATAGGAGGTGATTCTGCTGCTGTTGTGTGTGTGTGTGTCTGCATACAAAGCGATCCTTGGCACATTAGAGGTGGTCAAATAGTTTCCATATTGTGCTCTCCCTGCAAATTCACATGTTGCTGAGCATGACCCAGCTTCGGTAATTCCAGTCCAGTTTAAGCTTTTTTCCCCCATTTTCTTCTTGGATTTCTCTCTTTATGATGTCATCCCCCAAAATTGTGTGTGTGTGTGTATAAAAGCAGTGGGTGATTTAGGGAGGTTGTGCAGTGACAGAAATGACTCAGACTTGAGAATATAGCCTACAACTCATCCTCCACTAGACTGAAAAGCACAGACTGACTTTAGGTTATAGTGGTGAGACTGACTATTTAATCAATAGCACATGTGATAATCACAGTTAAACTGAATATTTGGGGATCTATACTGTTGGTCAGCCAAAAGATGTCACCCTGTTCTCTGGGAACAATTTGTGACAAGTTAATGCTGATGTTTTTAATTAAAAAAATAACTAATGTGTCTAAAATATAAGCAGTAGATGAGTTTATAATGGTCATGGGTCGCATCCCTGTTAGATTCATAGAGGACATACAGATGACTTCTGCCTGTTTACATAATTTCCTTGCTAGAAAGGAGCCAGAAGACCTCACTGCCAAAGACCTTGGTTATCTCATTCTTGGGCCAGGCCATATATGTGCAGTTTGTTGACGTTGACTTTGAGGGCTGCAGAGCTGCTAGCCAACCACGCAGCAGACAAGGCCATTTCCTCTGTTCAACTCCATACAGGGCCAGGCCCTCGCTGACAGAGCTTCTCAGGCAGCTAGCTGCAGCCCTGCATAAACATCTGAGAGACCAGTCATTACGCTGGAGGCCCTTTTTTCTTTTGGCTGTTACTCTGAAGAGGCTCAACTGTGCGTGAACCAGCATTGTTTTTTTTCCTATAAAGTGACACATGTCGTTGGGAAAATGTGTTGTTAATGTGAACTGAAATACTTTTCACCCTCCCATTTTTTTAAATGCAAAAATTAAGCGAGACTTACATTAAACGCCATTACAGATCTCCCCAAGGGACTGTGTGTGTGTTTGAGTGAGTGACACAGGAAGACACAAGGGAAAACAGTGAGAGAGACTTGAAGAGAATGTGTAGCTGAGGATTCCACTGTGTATTTTCCGCTCTGTCATTCCTGAGTTTTTTTCCCCCCCTGTTACTTTTTATAGCACACAGGGCTGGTCAAACTATGAACTGTCTGTCCACATTGCTGGGCCTGAATTGACAGAGAATGTGATTAACTGTTATTTCACCTCAGTGTAAGCTAGTACTGCAGCTATTTCCTACAGGCTGTACAAGCCCTCCTGAGGTTTATTGTTAAATGGAGTGCAGAGTTGTGGCTTTGCATGGAGTTGCGAGAAGCCCTGGCAGCTGCCTTTGGGTAAAGGGAGTTGCTTGGGTGAAGGGGCCAGTCACACATAGGTGATAGGTTGGCTCCTGGTAACGGCAGCAGTGCTATGTGTGCTGTCTGTGTGTTTTGCGTCTTCGCGTATGTTAGCAGGCGTTCCAGCTTGCGCAGACATATTTATCACTAGGCCAGTCGTCAGATGGTTTTAGGCTGCCGGCAGCGCGGGGAAGCATGTGCTTAAGTCTAAATAAAGACTGGTAGGTAGCGGGTGTAAGAACCTGGGTGGCTATGTGTCAAAGAGAAAATCACATAGATAGTGTTTTGTCAGCTGGTGTATGCTCAGAGTTGTTAGGAGCGCATCAGCAACCCCTCCTACACATGCTTCAAGGGAACAAGTATGTCTTTATCTTATAAAAAACATTCTAACTAGACTTTTTTAAAGCAAGTTACCACAGCATAAATATGTATTGTTGTTTTAGTGACGACCACGGCTTCAGCCCCCTCCACTGGGCATGCAGGGAAGGGAGGAGCGGTGTTGTTGACATGCTCATCATGAGAGGCGCACGCATTAATGTGATGAACCGCGGAGATGATACCCCACTGCATCTTGCCTCCAGTCATGGGCACAGAGACATTGTGGCTAAGGTACACACACTCAGATATAATGTGGCTACAACTGGACCTGTTCCATGCGTTGTTTACACTGAATACTTATTCAATTTCTACACTTTGTGACTTGTGAATGCTAGCTGATTCAGTGCAAAGCAGACCCCAATACAGTCAACGAGCATGGAAACACACCACTCCATTACGCCTGCTTCTGGGGCCAAGACGAAGTGGCAGAGGTACAGTGCAATACACCCACAGACACTCCACTTCTTCTGGCACAATGTGTTGGCTGAAAATGCCCTCTTCTGGGGAGAAACTGCCTCTACAGTGCTTTTTTTGTTAAGCACTGGAGAGCCAACTGCTCCAAGTGTCTTTGCTTTTAAATTTCAAAACTTGCTTAAAATCTATTCTGTGCATAACCTAGTTTCACCCTTCTTTAGGACTTGGTGACCAGTGGTGCTCAGGTGTGTGTATGTAACAGATATGGACAGACACCCCTGGACAAGGCCAAGCCTCACCTAAGACAGCTGCTGCAAGGTCAGAGGTCATTTGTGGACATTTACCACACTAACAGGTTATTTCCTATGTAAAGAAAATCATTATGTTTGCAAAATAAAAAGGCATCACCAGTTTATTTTTGCGTTGTTGGTTTTTTTTTTATAGAAAAGGCAGAGAAAATGGGCCAGAGTATGACCAAAGTCCCCTATAAGGAAACTTTCTGGAAGGGCACCATGCGAACACGACCTCGTGAGTTCATTACATAAAAAGGGCCACGTCATCATATCAAATCCGGACGTTTGTTTGATTATTCATGTTTTGGCTCTTTCAGGTAATGGTACCCTCAACAAGCAGGCTGGTATTGATTACAAGCAGCTTTCGCTTCTGGCAAAGATCAATGAGAACCAGTCTGGAGAGGTCAGTTGCACTTAGCACTTATTATTTTTTCAGCTCCCCAGACGTTTAATAGACTATGTGTTGTGTCCGCAGTTATGGCAGGGTCGGTGGCAAGGGGATGAGATTATAGTGAAGGTGCTGCAGGTGAGAGACTGGACCACCAGGAAGAGCAGAGACTTCAACGAGGAGCACCCGAAACTCAGGTAATCCACACAACACTGAAAGTTAATAGTGGTAGCTTTGGTTGACAATCAACAGTATTTCTAGTCGTGTCTGGTCAGATTTCATTTAGTTAATTTGTCTATGAGCTATTGGATTGGTAAAGGCAGTGCTAATGTGAAGATGGATGTGATTGATTGGTTGGCGATTGAGGTCAGAAAACCTCTGGTGTAGGGATTATTGTGCAATAGTAAGAGGAGTTTTTATTTTTAGAGGTCATGGAAATGGGTTTTGGTTAGTGTGGTGGTGAAGTAGTTGTTGGCAGCTTTTTCCTGAGTGATGTGTTCCGTTCTACAATATGAAAAACAAATTCCACAAACCTCCCTCCATCACAGTAAACATGAAATCCATTATAAAGAGAAATTTAAAGTATGTACGGATTTCGAGAGGATTTTGGTGAGCCAAGAGAACAAACGTGTCAAGACAAGTTGAGCAGGGCCCCTCAAGAGGACCTCTGCGTTCAGACATATTACTGACATATTTATGGCTGTTTATCCTAAGGGAGCAAATCAAAAGCAGGAATTTACACAGAAACAACCTACATATATCTAATTAATCAAAATAAATCAGAGAATAAAATTACATAATACCAAAAAGTGTAAATCAAGCAAGCAAAATGCCACATTAATGAAGGCATATTAATTATAAGGCACCTTTATTATTACCACCAACTTCAGACACTCATTAGGTGACAGAAAAACTCACAACAAAACCTTAATAGGACAAAAGTGAAGAAAACCTTTGAGCAGGCCAATTTAAAGAATGTGAGTGAGTGTGTGCAATTGGAAGAGCTTGGCAGCAGGCTTTCATGTTGGCTTCAGTTGTTGCCCTATTTCAAGAACTGAAGCGCACATAAAAGTACTTGGGACGAGTATGCTGAAACATTCGGAGGCATCGTATTATCTGGCATGTACTGCAAAAATGAAAAGAGCTTCGGATAATGAAAGAGTAAAAACTGCAGCTCAGCTTAACCTCTAAAGGGCCACAGATGATGCAGTTGTGTGTAAGAACATGGATTTGTGAGGTGTTTTCTTCATGCAGAACATTTTAGGACATTAATTTAATAAGGTTTCCTCCTAACCGTGAATTTGGCAATGCCTTATCATCTGAGTAAAGACCTCCCTGTTCTAAGAATATATCATTATTTATTTTTTATCCTTCTTTTGAAAAAAAGACATTTACACACCTTTCTCTTTCTGTGGTGTCTACATAGGATCTTTTCTCATCCAAACATTCTGCCTGTTCTTGGGGCCTGTCAGTCACCTCCATCCCCTCACCCCATCATCATTACCCACTACATGCCATACGGATCCCTCTTCAACATACTCCATCAGGGCACTAGTAAGTCATTTAGGTTTACGTGTATAAAATGGAAAGCCCAAAGCACTATTGCTGAGGACATCGCACATCCATCTTTACTTTTGCCCCCTTGTCTCCTATTCTCCTCTTTCTTCTTACGCTTCCTCAGCTCTGGTGGTCGACCAAAGCCAAGCGGTGAAGTTTGCGTTGGACATTGCCAGCGGCATGGCTTTCCTCCACACCTTGGAACCAATGGTTTCACGGCTTTACCTCAACAGTAAGCATGTCATGGTAAGACACTCTTCTACTTTCTTTGACTACTGGTGTATAAGAAACCACAATTATAAACTAAAAGAGTCTATTGTCACCACTACGATTGCACAAAATTAGGGTGATGCTGTGACTCACTGACTCGCCAGATGCTTGATGATGTGGTTAATTTGCAGATTGATGAGGACATGACAGCCAGAGTAAGCATGGCGGATGCTAAGTTCTCCTTCCAGTGTCCTGGCCGTATGTACTCTCCAGCATGGATGGCCCCTGAAGGTATTTGTTCCTTTTTTCACTCCTTGTTATCCTCCATTCCGCCACCTACTTCCTCCTCCCATAATGCCTCTTTAGACTTTGAGTCAATCAGTAAAGAACACACTGTACTGTATAATTTAATCCCAGTTTAGTGGTAGTCATACTGTTTATCTGCTATGTTGCCCATGGTACAGAATACAAACAAACCCCATGAGTAATCTGGTTATGTTAATGGTTTTCCTTATCCCCGTTTTGCTTCCAGCCCTGCAGAAGAGGCCTGAAGACATTAACCGAAGATCTGCCGACATGTGGAGCTTCGCTGTGTTACTGTGGGAGCTGGTTACCAGAGAGGTCCCCTTTGCTGACCTCTCACAAATGGAGATAGGCATGAAGGCAAGTATTTATCTACCCACAGGCTTATACTGTAGGTTCACGTCCGCATCTCTGTATCTTTTGGAAATGTGGCACCAAACTCGCAAACACCACGCCTCTAAGACATACAGAGGCTTTTACAGGTTTCTATAGCAACCTCTACCAACCAATATATAACGCCTCTCCTTCCACGCTCAGGTGGCTCTCGAAGGTCTTCGGCCAACCATTCCACCGGGGATTTCGCCTCATATTTGTAAGCTGATGAGGCTGTGTATGAACGAAGACCCGGCCAAGAGACCCAAGTTCGACATGATCGTCCCCATCCTGGAGAAGATGCAAGACAAGTGAACGCCTTCGCAGCCTCACTCCTGTTACTATGTTTGTTTGTTTTTAATCATCAAACCACTCTGTATCTTCACTTCAATCATGTATCTGCTAAGCCACTGTAAATAATGTCAGAGACCACTTCAGCTACACAATTCCAACAATAAGTATTACATTGCTTTTCTTGTATAATTTAAATTGGAGGTATAAATGTTCTTTTGCCTGACTGTGTTGCTCTTTTATTATGGCTGAAACTTCACTGAAATATTGGCAAAACGTTTGAATCCAGTATGGATTATGTTCAGTGATGAGTCAGACAGAAACCCATCCAAAGAAATGTGTATAGAAACAATGCTTTTATACACACTAGCGATTACAGATGCAATAAATGTTTTATATTTATGACAAACTCTTGTTTTTTTTATTCCATCTTCTTTTAATGTTAACATTAGTTTACAAAACAGTCTTAGAACGAGGTCTGCCTGCTGATGAGAGTATTCAACCAAATGCTGTGGCTTTCTTCAGCAGACTAGTTGTCATGGAGATGATCCAGATGTGAGTTAGTTGTTGCCCGCTGTCCACTGATGAATGCCACAAGATGGGGCTGAAAGCTCCAGCAAGATTTTTTTTTTTTTAGCTACTACTTCCAATGTCAACAGCGACCCCTGGAGCTCAGCTCACAGGCCATGGTTTCATATTTCTGCATGAACATGTATGATTTAATATCTTTGCAACTTAAATTCATTAGAGTAAGAGTCAGCTATGTATAAACTTGTTTAACTGTACAGTCTATGATTATAACAGCAAATTTCTCTGATGGATTTATATTAATCTAGCTGTTTATGGGAGTGGGCATAACTTGGGTTTATTATGGTTCATTTGACTGAGCTGCATTAAGATAGTCCCTGCTGTGAAACCATGAGAGCAGAAAGTCAAAGTACCATGGTCACAATCATAGACTGTCAGCATGGGCAAACAAAAAAACACCTCCAAAGTCAATGCATTCTCCTTTTTGTCCAATCACCGCTCGACTAAGTGATAGATCAGCTGCAGTGTGTGTGACAATCATTGACGGTATATATACAGGGTTACAACTTGCTCGCAAGAAAGAAAGAAAGGGGGGAAAAACACGTGACGAGTCAGCTGACCTTGTGTGCCGTCCACAAGACCGACTCACACCATAACAAGCTGTGAACTGCAGACAGGCGAGCACTCAGACGGAACGGCTCGTCGACCTTGCTTCACTACACTTTGTGGAAGTTGAAGCGGGACTGTCTTGAAGCCCCTGACCCGCCTGTGTTCACCGCACCCGGAAGACGACGACGACGACCACCCTCCGGGCTGCATCTTTACAGGTACCGCGGCAAAAGAGACGCTAGCTGGCTATTTTGTTAGCCGGCTGTTGTCGGGTTTTAACTCGACGTTTGTACACTCTTGCTGAAATTTGCTTGTGGGTGTGTGAGGCGTGTATTCTCAAGTTGAACGCCACTGAGTGTTACTTCCTTGTCTGTTTGTTCATGTCCCCTCACAGAGGCTGCCATTAAACAGTCCTCGGAGGACACCTGCTGCCAGCACAATGAGGCTCCCCTCCCTGCTGCCCTCCGTCGGGCTGATAACCTGCACTCTGGTTCTGATGTGGCCGCTGTTAGGGTCCTGCCACCCAGCACAGACCCCAGAGCAGCCCAAGCTGGTGTTCATGGAGCATTTCAATCGTCCAGGGGTCGGATTCAACTGGAGAAATCTCACCTGTCCCCTCTGCAAAGCTTTGTTCACCATCCTCGATATCGCCCTTCTGGTAATGTTTGAACCTGTCAGGCTAAAGAGGATGCTGGTGCAGTGCAGGGCTAGGAGCAGTGTCCCCTGAAATGTACATTATATACAGATCCACATTATAAATATAGATGAAGTTGAGACAAGCTGCAACCAACCAGTTTTCAGTCCAGGAAGTCAGAAATCTTTCTAAGCAGAACATAAATATAAGAAGTTGATAAACAGGGGGAAATGAAATACACAGCTACCATTATGCATTTATCATCAGCGAGGTCATTTTGACAGGATATCTTACTTTAGACTAAGTTGCTGGTTTAGTAGGTACACCTAGCTTAAACTGA